ATCTGCTTCTTATAGCTCCTTGAGGTTAATATCAAGCAAGGATAACTATGTTTTCAAGTTAGATCTCCTGAAACCCCCCAGTCCACTCACAGAACTTATGTGAATTTAGGCTTCAAACTTGTACAAGAATGAGCTTGTTTTGCATTCCCAGGGAAGACTTTTATTTCCCAATGTGTACCCCCTATCTAGCTCTGAGGACCTGCTTATTTTCCTAGTTGATCCACTGAAGATGTACACTTAAAGGATTGTGGCATTATGCTGGAGGGGATGAAGTCTTTAATAAGACCTCACTGCAAGGCACAGCCTGCAATACCACCTCCCGACACCCTCAACGCACAAAATTAAAATCTGGGCAGTAGCATAACAGGAGGCAGCTGAAAACCACTCCTGCCCTACCCCCAAGACACACATTTGTGTGAGAGTTTATCATTCTGCATTTGCTGTTTTTTGGTTTTTTTTTTTTTTTTTTTGGTAGTTTCTGGCCTTTTCTTGCCAGCCCAATCATGCATTGAAAAAGACTGACTACTCTCTGCAGCACTGTTTGGCATTTTTCTGAATCTATGGTCAGCCAGATGACCCTGGCTTCTACTTCTTTAAACCAGGAGTCATATGCAGTGGATGAAAGGGGAAGGACTTTGCTAGACAGTGGAAAAGGTTTCAAACAGTGTGAAAATGGGAAAGCAAGTTAGAGAAGCACCAAGTAATAAAGCAATGATACATCCAGGAAAGTTCATGGTATAGGAAGAAATTACTTGGTAAGACTTCATAGCACCTGAGCTATATAATAGTCTCACATCTGATACATATCAGCCATGTAATTTTGGACAAATCACATCCATGTCTACCTATTTCATGGGGGTTGTGAAAATAAATGTTACAAAGTGCTTTGAAAATACCAGTTGCATAACATATAAGGCATTATAATCATGTCTTCTGTTACAGGTATGTATCTGAAACTTCAGCTTCACAGATGATTTCAGGAGAAATAAGATCAAGATAGTGAAAAAATTTAGTAGATTCAGACAAAAACAGTTTATAGTCAGTTATGGATAAAAGTCAAACATTGAGCTAAACCACTATTTCTGGTAAACACTAACTGACTCAGGATATGAGACTTGTCTTACAGACTTTTCTATTTTGTAGAATTTATTGAAACTAAATTAGCAAAGCCCTAATTAGTATGGGCCATTTGCCATGAGATAAAAATAGTTTCATTAAACAAAACTCTATATTGTATGAAATCTTTTAGGCAGAAAATAGATTCCAGACAGTATATAATTTACCTCAAATGTTCATCAAAATAAAGTTAACCCCTACATTTTAGATGACTAAATATTTTCTAAATTTTGACCTTTTTATAAAGTGTCATTCAATAATATAATCACCATTGTTCTAGTTGCTAGAGATAAAAATATGTAAAATATTCCTTCTTATCCTCAAGGAATTTCTATTTTAGGTGGTAGAAGTATGATTTCCACTTCTGTGGGAAATCAAAGAACAGAACAAAATCAATGAACCTGCAAGTTGACTTGCAAGTTATTTGAAGTATACCAATATAAGAATACATCTACTGGTAGGGACAATAATAGCATCCATAAATCTAAGAGTTAAGATTTTGAATTTAATTTTCCTAGCTGTTTTGGCATTGTGATTAAGTCACTGTACTTTATCCTGATTAAGCAACTGGCACTCCTAAGATCAAATTGGAAGTAAGAACTTCAATATGTTGAAGATGAACTCATTGATTTTGGCATGCATCACAACACTTCAAGATGGTATACCATCAACTCTCATTAAAAAAAAAAAAATTTAGATTCAGGAGGTTCACATGCAGGTTTCTTACATGGATATACTGTGTGATGCTGTCATTTCTCCTTTTAAGTCGTTCAACATGTTCTAATGGTAGACAGAATCAATTTTATCAGATAGTCTGTTTTAAATATTGAAGTCTTCTCCGGTAAAAGTCCAGGAGTGTGAACCTTTCTCTGGTAAAGCTCATGTCCTACCTATCCTGCCAGAAGTTCAATATGTGTTTTTAGATTAGTGTACAAGGTGGTTTTTCCCCCCTCTCTCTCAACTATCGGTTTCCAGGAGGTTAAGTACGAAACACTGAGAAGCTCAACTGTTTAAGAAAGGGCTACTTTCCTTCATCTTATTTCAAGTATAGACACACACACACACACACACACACACACACACACACACACACACAAAGTCCTTCTTTTCAAAAACATGAGTTTTAGAATATCTGCCAAAATGTATTCAAAGTAGTAGGGTTTGTTTTACTTTTTATACTGATCCACGGTTCTTTATAACTAAGTCCTGAAAGCTACTCTTAGTGAGAATCAGAAAAAACAAATGCTTTAAATAAGTTAAAAGTAATATGGAATTGGTATTTAATACGGCATACAGTAAAGACAGAGTGAGTTGGTTATCAAGACACACACAACTATTAAAAAAAGATACAGGGGCCTTTGGTTAAAAAAATTAAACATCAGTTAAGTCTTATATTTATTACCACATAGGCTTTCCCTTCCACTTTGCTATAATATGAAGAACTCACTAGGAAAAACTTCATTAATTCAGAATGATCAATGGGAAGTATACTTCCAGTTATCTGGAATTGATATAAAAATTTGAACTCAAATACTCTCTTAAATACAGGTTCCTGGCGATTTTCTGTAATGAAAAGAGAAATGATTTCTGGTTAAGATATCTCCTTTCAAATAGGCTTTCAAAAAAACTGACAATTTGTTCTCTTAAGTACAATTGTGTCCTAAAATCGCTAATTTGATTATAAAAAGGACAGACAAACAACTCACACCCTTTTTAGCAGGCATTACAAAGGAAAAAAGCTTTATCCCAGCTTCTTTCCAAATTACGTTTTTCAGGTTAATAGAGTTTCATCGTTTTAAAAAAAGTACATCACACAAACATTTAACAGGAAGACTTTTAGACTTTAAATTCTTCCTCACTAGCTTGAGTATTAGCTCAAAGTCTGAAGACCCAATCTAGACACTCTGTGGATTCTATGCTATATAAGCTTACCTTCAGGATTTTGAGCTTAAATATATATCCTTTTTTGTGATGGTGTTTACCCACTTTGTGCTTATCTGAGCGAGCTACTGACTGGGAGATGGTAAAAAGGGAACCTTCTGGGACACGGAAAATGCTTTATATCTTAATCTGGGTGGTGGTAACATGGGTGTATACAGATGTAAAATTTCATCTAGGTGTGCATTTAAGATTGTGGACTTTATGGTATATGTTATACCTCAAGAAGTAAAAAAGAGTGTTTAATCCACTTTATGAAATGCCTACCAACTATTTTACAGTGAATCATTCATACGATTTTGTAAATCAAAATGTATAGGGAAAAAACAAGTCATCTGATGCTCCTGGCATAAAAATCGCTAGTCACTTTCAGGTAAACATCTCAAGCTGGAGTAAAAGCTTCAGTGTTGAGAAGTCACTAACACACTATCTGAAATGGTGGCAGGAAGATTACAATGTATCAGTTTAAGTATAAAGGGTAGAAGTGTTATAACAGCTTAAACGACAACTAGATTAGAACATCCTCAAATAAGTGACACGACTATGGCATCATTATCTCATTTGTGATAACCTATGCTGCTTATTTCCGCTTACTGCTTTGGGGTTTTGTCATTGTATTGTTTGGACTTTCAAAGGATGGAGAAGGAAAATAATAAAAGTTAAATTAGTTTTGTTGTTTTCAACTATTGTTTTTAGTGTGCTAAATAGTTGACGTTATGACTGACTTTAAAATTATGCATTCTACTTCCTATTTATTAAACGAGAAAAGAGTTGGTTTATGTAGGAAATATAAACACTTAATCTATGTCATTTTAAAAAAAATTTTTGCTTGGAACTATATTAATTCCATCACCTCCAAAAAAGCCTTTGAGAGGATTAGCTGCATAGGCCAATATTATTCTATATTAGTCTGTATTAAGCATATGATGTCACCTTGCTTCCTCCCCTCCTCAAGCTTTTCTTTTGGTGGGAAGGAGGACTTTCTTGGGGGAAATTCTCAAAATATTATGGCTTAAATACCACAAGCTGACACACATGATTGACAATCTTACACTCCCAAACCTGTTTGAAATGGGTCAAATACCTAAGCGCTGCAGAACAATGCAATCCAACCAGCAATTCCCCATAAAAGAGAAAGGGGGTGTGATTAGGTTCCAGATATTAAGCAAGTTATTGCAAAAACAGTTTGGTGGTTTTGTTTCTGCAATAGGGACAGGTTGAGCTAGTATTTTTTTCTCTTAATAAGGTCCAAAAAAGACTATGCTATAGGAGGTAGGATAAACCACTAAAGCATGAAGCAACTGGGACAAACATTAAGGGCTTTATGGAGGTCCTTATCCTGATCCTCAGCATTGGTTATTGATCATCAACCCTGCTGGGGAACTATCGAACGAAATTTGCGTGAGGCTTATCGAGCCACAGGAAAGGAGATGCAGGAGGGAATATAAGCTTCTAATAAAAGAAACGCAGCAACAATAGCAGAGGAACAGCTCTGCCTGGTGACGTAATGGCTGGCAGCAGTCCAGCTTCAGCAGAGCTGCTGCTACCTCAGCATCCAACCTCCCTCAACACAGTCCGGCTTCGGCAGAGCCACCGGGGCTGCTACTTCTTGAGATGCCACTTTGTTGGTGCCACCAACGCCTTACCTCAGAGGGCCAGAACACCAAACAAAGGGTTCGTTCCGTTGCTGTTTTAAGTTGTCAGACACACACACTCTCACTCACTCACCCCCTAGCCCCGGACCCCTCAGTAATCGAGCCAATCAGCCACTTAAGTTTAGGACGAAAACACTGGCTCACACTCCAGGTGTGCCTCAGTTTCCCCAGGCTGGTTTCCAGTCCGCCTCTAGCTGCCCACCCCCCCGCCCCCGCTGGTCCTCAGCGGGAGTTGATCCCAGCGGCCCCGCGTACCCGCCCGGGCCCCGCATGCCGGCCCTCCTGCCTTACCTCCGCCAGGTAGAGGTTGAGGAGACAGAGCGTGGAGAACTGGAGACAGGAGGGGAAGCAGTAGAGCAGCCAGTGGGGGAAGAAGTGCAGGTGAGCGGGCGGCCGGAGCAAGGGCAGGGAGCCGCTGAGCGAGAAGGCGGCAGAGAAGAGGGTGGTCCTGAGCGCTGCCCACAGGAGACAGAGGAAGAGGCAGAGGCTCTGGTAACTCAGCCGCCGCTCGCGGTACAGGAGCAGCCGCCACAGCTGCAGGTAGGCAAAGGCGAACAGCGCGGCGTAGAGCAGGGCGTGCAGGACGCTCAGCGCCAATTGCACGGAGCCCGGCACCGCGGCGCCTGAGGCTGCAGCGACGGCGCCTCCGCCTCCGCCGCCCCCGCCGGGCGTGGAGGGCTCGCGGCCGGCCGCGGGGGCCGCAGCGGCCGCCGGACCCGGCACGGACACCCTCATGAGGGGGCTGGGGGCCGGGCGAGCGAGCGCGGGAAGGAAGGGGCTGGACTCGGAGCCGCCGTCGAAGGGGAGAAGGACTGCCCCCTTACCCCCCACCCACCCCAGCCTCTAACCCCAGGAAGCGCCGTGACGGGACCCGGAGTCCCGCGCAGAGCAGCCGCGGCTCCCCCCGACCCCGCCTCCTCTTTCCCCCCACCCCTCGGGGGTCTCGGCTCCTCCTGCTGCGGCTCGGCTCCGTAGCTGCAAAAAACAACTCTCGGCTGGAGACAATCAGCTGAGAAACCCGAGCATTTGAGGCGCTCGCTCCGCACTGTGGGCTCGCGCCGATTGGCCCGGCTAGGCACGCCCCCTGAGCGCCGTGCTCGGAAGGCCACGGGCCGCCGTACCCGTCGCTCGAGGGCCCCGAAATCTGATTGGGGGCTTAATTTTCCTACTTTCTCCCTCCCCTGTACTTCCCACCCACGCTGCTGATTGGACCTGCTACTGCACCGCCCGTTCGCGCCGGCGGGAGGACTCTGTAATCGTCTGTCACTCTCGCTCCGCCCACCGCGCTTCCCATTGGTTAGAGAATGCCTCACGTAGGGAGCACGAGGAGAAGGAGGAGCTTCGCAGGTTGTTTTTTGTCCCGGAGGCCGACTCTGTCGAGTCGGTGGCGGCCGCAGGCTGGGAAGGAGCGGTGCTACGCCTTAGCAGGTTGGCGAAGTGGTTCCAGGCTACCCGGCTAGTCTGGCACGGCCCGGCCTTCTGCCTCCTACTCCGTCGCGTGGCGGCGGGAACTGTTGGCCGCGCGGCCTCAGGAACGGCCTAGGTCCCCGTCCGCAGGTCCCGGGCAGGTAGGTGGCAGCGCCGGTCCTTCAGGCTGTGGGCTCTGCCTGCAGACCCGGGGATTCAGACGAAGCGGCTTTCTGTAGCCAGGGCTGCACTGCAGAGCTCCGGAGTCTGACTTAGGACACCCGCCTCTGGGGCACTGAAGGGCCTCACCTGGAGCCTCCTGAGGGCGTTTTACCTTCTGTTTTCGCTGTATGAACGCCGGGAAACACCGGAGCCCTTTGTGGGTCAAGGGGATGGAAAGGGGCAACGGGGAGAACCGGAGCTCTTAAGTGAAAGACACTTCCCTCCCAAGGGATATGTCTCTTAAGAAGGAGTAATAGTAGTGTCAGATGGATGTTGAAGCGATCTGTGAGCAGGGGGAAGCTCGTTCTTTCAAACGTAGAATTTGGGAAGATGCTCTGGGCTTCAGTTTTGGGAAGAAGGCAGAAACAGACTTGTAAGTCTGATGATTGCCTGGAGAGGAAGTAGAATATTCTGTACTGTTTAAATTCCACATGTATTGAAGCCCTTGGACCTGTGTATGGTAGATGGTGGCGCTATTCCTAGGGCTGAGAGAAAATACATGCTATGTTACTGCTGTAAAGAAGCGAGGAATAATCACATAGACTAATGTATATTAGGCCGGCACATAGTTGTTGATTTTTTTTTTCCTATTTGGGAATAAAATTAGCAAGTAGTGCAAAATTAAGAGGAAATAATTTGTTTTCTTTAGAATATACAGCACATTACGAATTCAATATCCTTGTGAAAGACATTGCCACGTCTATTGGAGCAACCAAGACCCAGCTTTCCTTACCTCACCATCCTTTGTCCTATGCTTTTTTGTTTTTCTTTTTTCGTGCAGGGTCTCGCTCTGTCACCCAGGCTGTAGTGACAGTTCACTGCAAACCTCCACCTCCTGGGCACAAGCAATCCTCCCACCTCAGCCTCCCAAGTAACTGGGACTACAGGTACTGGCGCCACCATGCCCGGCTGATTTTTTTTTTTTTTTTTTTTTTTTGGGAGAGACGAGGTTTCACTGTATTGTCCAGGCTGGCCTTTGTCGTATGCTTTGCCCAAGAAGAGTGGTGCTCTCTTTTTTTCCTAGCTAAGTATTCCACAGGGAACTTTAAAGTCTATTTTGTAGAGTCTGGGATAGTCGTTTGTCCAGGTACCAGATACTAGTGTGGTTCCAGTTCCTTAGAGGTTTGCTGACAAACTGTAGTAGTAGATGTACAGGCCCCGCACTGTTACCTAGACATCCCTCAGATGAAACGTTCAGCTGAGCAGGTAGAGAGTGCAGTGTATGAGAGGGTACGGCTTGCTCTAAGAAGTTAATAGGCCTAATCCAACATCTGTGCTTTGGAGCAGGATTTTGTTTATTGGAACGTAAGAACTTCATCTCATGTGTTTTTAGAGAATGTGGTTAGGGCAGGACACAAGTCTCTTCAAATAGGAGACAGGATGCTCATGACAGCAGTGATGTAATTGATTGCAGTAATGTGCTTAATCATTTAAGCATAAAATCAGAGTTGTGTGGTTTTAGGCACTTGTCAAAATCAAGGGCACCGCATATTCTCTGCCATGGCCTATTTGCATCTTCCATAATCATTGATGTGCACATTTCAAGTCATCAATAGACTTTTACTATAAAAGTGTTTTTCTCCTGTATTCTCTGCTCAAAGTGATAGTAAACATCTGGATGGTACCTATACTAATTTTAGGTCTTTGTCTGTGAGACTTACCTGCCACCTGCCATGTGTCAGTAAAAGCAAATCTGGATAGCCTCCTCCTTTCTTCTTTTTTTGGGGGATGGGAGTGTGTGTATAGAGTTGCGGGTTGAGGGTGCAGGTAGAGGATTTTTCTCCCAACTGCTTTGAAAAGGCTCTAAAGGGGAGAGATGTTGACCCCTTTTATTGCCTCCTTGGATCTGAAATGATAAACTGTGTTGAGATCTAATCAACATTTTATTTGAGGCTGGTTCAGTGAGCAGGTTCTGTTCTCCAGTAGCAGCATTAAACTAAGCAAGCTGACTTCAGACAGAATGTTCTTAGGCGTGAACTTTGTAAGCATTATATGCTCCATTTGTTGCAAAATAGGAAGTGTGTCTTTTTCCTGAGTATGATGGCCACAGATGTTGATACAATTTATTTAATAGTTATAGTTGTTAATTTCCTTCTTTTCTGAGAGGGAAAGCCATTAATTTTATGGTTAATCATAAGGGAATAGTAGGCCTATAAAGGGGGAACTAACCAAGGGTTTCCTAGAAAAGCTTGGTGTCAGTTATTCTAAAATTTAAATGTGTCCAAATGCATAAAGATTTAATATTGTTGTTCTGAGAGGACAGATGACCCTAGCATAGTAGTCTTTCAACCATTTAAAAGCAGAACTGTTTGGGTCGGGCACGGTGGCTCACGCCTGTAATCCCAGCACTTTGGGAGGCCGAGGTGGGCAGATCATGAGGTCAGGAGATCAAGACCACCCTGGCTAACACGGTGAAACCTTGTCTCTACTAAAAATACAAAAAATTAACAGGGCGTGGTGGTGGGCGCCTATACTCCAAGCTACTCAGGAGGCTGAGACCGGAGAATGGCGTGAACTGGGCAGGCGGAGCTTGCAGTGAGTGGAGATTGCACCACTACACTTCAGCCTGGGTGACAGAGCAAGACTGTCTCAAAAAAAAAAAAAAAAAGCAGAACTGTTTGTCAATTACTATTGCATATGGTACCCTATACCAAAATGGGATTGGTGGGGCTAACGAGGGCTGCCACCTGTTCTACCTGCCTCAGGAACACAAAGGCAAATCCTTATACTGTCTCCTTACTAACAAGAAGTCTAGCATTTTCTCTTGAAGTACTTCCTTCTTGATGTCCTTTGGAGCTTAACATTCGGTTGCTGAACAAAGCACACTTTTATCGCCTTTAACATTTTATGTGCATGCTTTAGCCCTTTTTCTACTATTGTCTCACGGAGCCATTCTTACAGTGTGGTTACCCTCTTGTATTAGTCTTTAGTTACATGTCACTCATTCTTTCTATTATTTAAATGAGCTGTGCAAACATACTTCTTTAGGGATGAGACAAAAGTTACATCTTACATGCCAACTCTGATCCATGCTAGCAGGACCATTATACTGAAGAATTGAGGGCCTCTTCCAGCCCAAAGGCTCAAAGTCTACATGTAGTTGGGAGGTGTATCGGTAGTATTGGCAAACATGCTATGGAAAACATTTACCTGTGACTTTTCCTGTCTCTTAGTATTGGCATCTGTTGTGATAATAGTCAAATTGCATTTTAAAGAGTCGTCTTATGTTCAAGTCATAATCCTTTTACCCATTACTAAGACCAGGTCTACTAATAGTGCTAGACTGGGTTATACTGTGGAAACAACCCCGAAACATTAGGAGTTTAAAATCATAGTTTATTTTGTTTTTTTCCTGGGATGGAGTTTCACTCTTGTTGCCCAGGCTGGAGTGCAATGGTACAATCTCGGCTTATGGCAACCTCCCCTTCCTGGGTTTAAGCGATTCTCCTGCCTCAGCCTCCTGAGTAGCTGGGATTACAGGCACCTGACACCAAGCCTGGCTAATTCTTTTGTACTTTTTAGTAGGGTTTCACCATGTTGGTAAGACTAGTCTTGAACTCCTGACCTCAGGTAATCCACCTGTCTCAGCCTCCCAAAATGCTGGGATTACAGGTGTGAGCCACCACGTCCAGCCTAATAGTGTTGGAGGTAGAAAGAATGGGGGTCGTAACCAACTCAGTATACCACTGGAGGCGAACAGCAAACTGTTCTCATGAAGCAGGTTGTTGGCAAACTGACACACTGCGTCTGCCGCCCAGAAGAAGGCTGAGGCCAGTCATGCCCCAGGCGCAGTGCTTCTTGTGATTATCTGCAGGAACATCTGAAGCCTGTTAGCAATCATGTGAACCTGTGATAAATCAAGCAGCTGACCAACCTTTACCTGCTGCTCCCTGTTCTTGCTACCCAGTAAATATGAAGGGTTGTGGAAGCTCAAGGCCCTTATTCACTAGAAGCAAGGAGCCTCCTGACCCCTTCTTTAAAACAGATTATTTTGTCTTTATTTTCATTTCTGCCTTTGTTCCCCCTTCATTCAGTCCCGTAGTAACTGTCACATAATAGTTTATTTTATACTGGATCAGCTGGGAGCTTTTCCCCATGGTGTTCTCTTTCTGGGACTTGGGCTGACAGAGAAGGCCTAATTTTGAGTGTTATCAGTGATCATGGCAGAGGGAAAGTGTGTTGTGATTCATTGCACACGTATACTGACTCTTAAAAGCTTCCAGAAGTACATGTCACCTTGCACATTTCATTGGCCAAGTCATGGCCATACCTAACTCAAGGAAGTGAGAGGTATAATTTTAACGTGCAGAGAACTAGAAACATTTGAACATTCTCTCTTGTCAACAAATGCTTTCCTTTGTACATGTAGTTCTTCCTTGGCTTTTCCTGGTGGAGGTAATTCAGAATTACCATCTTCACTACGTGAAG